ATATATATATATATATGAACAAAATAGGTACACTAAACAGAAAGTAGTTCTAGCCTATGGACCTAAACCCCTTTAGATAGATAGGGCCAAAAAACAACTTTTATAAAGCTGTACAACATATAATAAACAATTGTTTTAACACTCCCCTAAAGCTGGAGCATATAAATTATATGCACCAAGCTTGGAACATATATACTGAATCCTAGGTCCTCTTAAAGACTTAGTTAGAATGTCTGCAAGCTGGTCATTAGAGCTGATAAACTCGGTGATAAGTTCCTTGGACAACAGTTTCTCCTGAATGAAATGACAATCAATCTCTATGTGTTTGGTTCTATCTTGAAACACCGGATTGGAAGCAATATGAATGATTGCTTGATTATCACAAAATTTTAACTCTTGAAGGAGTAGTTTAATCCACACAAGTTCACAAGTAGCCAAAGCCATAGATCTATATTCAGTCTCCGCACTAGACCAGACAACAACACTTTGTTTCTAGCTCTTCCAAGAAATAATATTCCCCCCAATAAACACACAATATTTTGTGGTGGATCTCCTGTCTATGGGACACCCAACCCAATCTGCATCACAATACCCCAAGACCTAAGTATTTCCCTTTTCCTCATACAACAATCCTTGTCCTGGAGCCCTTCTTTTAATATATTTAAGAATGCGAATCATAGCATTCCAATGGTCAATGTAAGGATTTTGCATGAATTGACTAACAACTCTAACTGCAAATGAAATATCAAGGCTTGTAATAATGAAATAAATGAGTTTTCCCACCAGCCTCTTGTATCTATCTAGATTTGGAAAAATTCCACCTTGGTCCATCATTAGCTTTTGGTTTGGATCCATAGGACTATCAATTGGCCTGCAATTTTCCAAACTTGTTTCCTTCAAAATATCAAGAGCATATTTCCTTTGTGAAATTACAACACCTTCCTTTGATTGAGGCACTTCAATACCAAGAAAGTATTTCAGACTACTAAGGTCTTTAGTCTAAAAATGGCCAAATAAGTACTCTTTTAGTTGAGAAATTCTAGTAGCATCATTTCCTGTAATAACTATATCATCAACATAGACCATTAAATAAACACACTTCCTAGCAGAATGACAATAAAACACTGAATGATTGCCTCACTTTGTTCCAATCCAAAAATCTGCACAATGTGGCTAAATTTACCAAACCAAGCTTGGAGTGATTATTTTAGTCCATACAAAGACCGATGCAATTTACAAACTAAATCACACTCCTCCTGAGCAACAAACCCAGGAGGTTGCTCCATATAAATCTCCTCCTCAAGATCACCATGGAGGAAGGCATTTTTAATGTCAAGTTGGTGGAGTGGCCAATGACGAATAGCCGCCATAGCAAGGAAGAGTCTAACCATGGTGATCTTAGCCACAGGAGAGAAGGTATCACAATAATCAAGACCATAAATTTGAGTGTATCCCTTGGCTACCAATCGAGCTTTAAGGCGATCAACTTCACCATTAGGGCCAACTTTAACAGCATAGACCCATCTATAATCGACAGTCTTCTTTCCAAGAGGTAGAGGGACAAGCTCCCATGTGCCATTGTGTGTAAGAGCCTGCATTTCATCAATCATGGCTTGTTGCCATCCTAGATGATCAAGTGCCTCATTGATAGTTTTAGGAACAGTAGTAGATGACAAAGAGAAAACAAAATCAAAGTATGAAGGATACAAGCGGTGGTAACTTAAGAAATTATAAATAGGATAAGGACTACGAGTAGACCGACTACCTTTTCGAATAGCAATGGGCCAATCTGAATTGGAGTCATGAGATGACGTGGAAGATGAAGGACTTGTGGTATGGGAAGTTGTTGGGGGAGGATCACGAGTCTTTAGCTAAATCATGAGTATGAGATTGAGATTGATTCTCATCTTGGTTGGTGTTAGGAGTGGGAATCATAATCGGATCAGGGAATGGGACAGGAAGGGAATGGGACAGGAAGAACCTGTTGAACAAAGACAAGATTGTTTATGGAGGGTGAGAAAAAAGGTGTGTCCTCAAAGAAGGAAACATCAACAGACATATAATACCTTTTGGTAGTTGGAGAATAACATTTGTATCCTTTCTGAAGACGAGAATATCCTAGAAAAACACATTTAATAGCCTTTGCTAAACTTGGAGAGACATTATGAACAAATCAAGTACAACCAAACATCCGAGGAGAGACATGAATTAAAGGGTCATTTGAAAAAATGATAGAGTGAGGAATTTGATTTTCAAGAGAGGAAGATGACATCCTATTTATTAAAAAACAAGTAGTGAGGACTGCATCTCCCCAATTATGTACGGGAACATTCATATTAAACATTAGGGAGCGTGCAATTTCAATAAGATGTCTATTCTTCCTCTCTGCTATGCTATTTTGTTGTGGTGTGTGAGGACATGTAAATTGACGTAAAATACCCTATGAGGATAAAAAGGAAGAAAGTTCTGTAGAAAAATATTCCTTAGCATTGTCACTTTTGAAGATTTTAATTATCTTGCCAAATTAGTTCCTAATCTCATTAAAGAAAGATATGAATATAGATAAAAGTTCAGATCGATCTTTCATTAAATAAACCCAAGTACATTGAGAGAATTCATCAATGAAGGTTACAAGTCACAAATTTAAATTGTACATAGTCAAACCCCTTACAGTAATTACAATCATAATCCTACTGAATTACATTTCATATAGAATCTTATCATATTCAGCCATGTCAGCAGTTTCTCTTTAGTGGCAATGCACACCCTCAAAGACGTGAGCATTGTGCTCTAACCAAGTGCTTAAAATGATTTTATTGCATTTAGACACAATCATAAGGTTTAAGCTTTTGGCCTCCTCCAATTTAGCATAACCTTTGTAATGAACCAATAAAAGTTCTATAGTGGGGGAACTCACACTTTCACTTTAAACTAAAGTTCTATAGTGGGAGAACTCCAATGTCCATGGCAGCTGCAGCACCTGTGCATATTACTGCATATTGCAAAAACATTGTCGATATTCACATTTTTGAAGCTTTTGGCTGCTGGTCAAGAGTCATAATCTCTGGATGATAGAATTGGGATAAATATCTGGTATCAGAGCTGTGGAATATGAAAAGGATATGGAGTTTGGTGAAAATAATTTCCTGAGAGCTTGAATGTTACTAATATATGATCCCTGCTTTGACTTAAGAAATAATCCCTGCTTCAAATTAGAAAATGTTTTATTTTTTATTCTGATTGTAGTCAATATTGTGTGCTTTATGTGCAAGAGTCAGTTGCTACACTTGCATTTCTTTTCCCTTTAATTTACTTTATGCATGGATGTTTTGGTTGTTAACTGTTGTTTCATCTTAGTGCAGCAATTCGAGGTTACTCATTGTCATATCTTTCATCCTGTGCCGGAAGAATTCGGTTTTTACTAGGAACCCCTGGAATGGTGGCTCTTGATATTGATGCTAGCTTGAAAGGACTTCTTCAGCAGATTGTTCACCACCTTGAAAACTTGCCTAAACCCCAGGGTGAAAATATATCTGCTATCACTTGTGATCTATCGGTATGTGGGACATCTATACTTGGCCATTTTCTTATATCTTGAATGTGGGATGTATGTGCTTTTTGGATTAAAGTTCATTATGAACTTTGATATGAATATACTTGCATAATCATAACTAAGTTACTGCTTCATTCAATATAACTTGGGCACATGATTTGCTTATTAATAAATTCATTGGTACGGTAAAGAAGGAAAAATTTATAAGTTATGCTAGTGAGCTAACGCATGCAAAGGTTGTATGTTTGTATAGCTCTTAGTCTCAGAACATTAGTTTTTAGTTTTTCTTTGTCATTTTTTATTTGTTCTTTTCAGGATCCAGACAACCCAATTTTTTAGAGCACTTAAAACTTACTAATACTATTTTCAGGATTTTCGAAAGGATTGGCTATCGATTTTATTGATAGTCACATCTTCACGCTCATCTATAAACATTAGGCACTTGGAGAAAGCTACAGTTTCCACTGGCAAAGAAGGATTATTATCAGAAGGGAATGCTTCTTACAATTGGTCCAGGTTTTTATCCCCAATTTTGGTTTGCTTACCTATGCTATAATGGTACTCTTTAGTCTTTTGAGTGATTCAATAATCAAAAAATTAATCTTTTAAGTCTTTAAAGGAGAGTTGTGTTTTGGTCCCGGGAGGAAATTGTGTGGGATACTTAATCCCCTTTTCTCTGTTTTCCCCTCATTTAGAAATTAGAATAAAAATCATAAAAAAGAGAAAAATGGATTTACCAGACTAGTAAAAATTGCAATCTTTTGTGTAAGATTGCATGATTTTATGATCTTGAGTGTTGCGAAATCAGAATTAGAATTTGGAGATATCACTACGCCGGATCATGGTATTGTGCAATGTTACTGTGTGTCTGTGCCTGACAAATCTGTGTTGATGTTTTCTGACCGGTGATCCAAAATACTGTGCTCCTGACAACCCTAAATCTGCCAAAATTGACCCCATTTTGGTCATTCGTGTTCACACCCAAAACACCTATCACTGGACTGCTGTGCTGCCCAATTCTTCTCTACCATCAGTCTTCATCTCCTCCATTGTTCCTTCTCTTCTGCACCTTTGTTTGCTTGGTGGTTGGTTCTCTATTTCTCCTCTTCTCTTCTGCACCTATCTTTTGCTGGCTGCTGGGTTCTCTATTCTCCTCTTCTCTTCTGTGTCTGTCTCAATGGTATAGGGAAGGGGAAGCCTAACTGTGCTGAACAGAACTGAGAATTTCTTCAAACCCTAGCTCTGCTGCTTAGATTACCAGATTCTTGAATTTGACTACTTAATTCTGGTGTTTAAGTTTTATGTCTTGGCACTCATTAAGAACTTGGTGTTTGGTATTTTTCTTATGTTTAAGTTGTCATTTGTGACTTATAAGTCATTATTAATGACCTTCCTATGGATTTTCTAGTTTGATCAAATGTTTATAAGAATTTTGTTGGATCTTATGATTTATGTTACAAATCTGCAATTTATGATTTTGACTCCTCACCAATCCTTCGTAAAATCTCAACTTTGGCTACCCTGTTTACCAGCTGACTGACACCTGTCTTGCCAATCTGCGGCACTGCAGCCCCCCTGCTGAGCTATGTGCTTTCCCCCTTATCAATCTATTTCTTACCTTGTGGGTCAACTGATTTATCTTCAGACCTTTTAGATCGACCCCTGAACTTATCAATGGAGTCTAAATATTTGTGCAGATGAACTTAATTTTGTACTAGTATATTCAATTGAGGAGCATAATGCTAGATCTTTTTGCTGGAGATTTCTTGCTGCCATCCCTATATTATACTAAGTTGATTTTGTATCTTTGTTGTGTGTTGAAGCATATGGCTTGTTTGACTGTTTGTAACCCACATCACATATTCGGAGGAACTGATCCCTGTCCTTTGTTGTACTAGGAGGATATCTTGATCTTCTGTTTTGTACTATTCTCTTTTATGAACTGCTTTTATAATTTATATATATTACTGCTAGAGGGCCTTCATGTAGTATTATGTTTTTGGATCATGGTTTGCAATTACTCACATGCCATGTAATTTTTTTTTAAACAAATTGTAATAAGTTTGAAGAGATAATTATGGCATAGTTCATTTTTGATGCAGATGTGTAGATGAATTGGAATCTGTACTTTCAAAGCATGGTAGTCTTAGGAAGCTGTATTTCTACCACCAACACCTCACAGCTGTGAGTGCCATATTCTACCCCCACCTAATTCATTTCTTCAGTTTCTCTAGAATGATGGCTAGTTTATATGCTATGACTTTAACCTTAGGTTATAAATTTTAAAATTTACTATGATTTTCTTTTCCATTTTATCCCCAACGATGTGCCTATAATAGGTTTTTAGAAACACCATGTTTGGTCCAGAAGGGCGTCCTCAACATTGTTGTGCATGGCTTGGGATTGCCAGTAGTTTTCCAGAGTGTGCATCTCCAATTGTGCCAGAAGAGGTAAAAAAAAAAATCCTTGCCAGCAGTTTTATACTTTAAATTTTTTAGTATTGACTAAAATTATGAATCCGTTAACTGCATATAGATATTTTATTTTTTTAATTTTAAATTTCAATGAAATGGAATTCTGAAATGTTCTGTTTAAAGCTATAGTCATTGTGGGTTCTGATGTCACTGCAAATCCAAACTTCTCTTATCACATCAGTGATCAAAACTCAAAAATATACAGAATGGCATTACTTTTGAAAATCGAAACCTTATATTGACTTTACCGTCATGTAAACTTCCATTTCCTACTGCCTGATTGATCATTAGGTGTTTTGTGATGGTAGCAAGATGTGGGAAATGTATAATATAGGTGGTCACTATAAATTTTGCTGCAAGCAGGTTACAAAAATTGGCAGGGATGCTGTTCTTTATGTTGAATCTCTGATTGAGTCTATCATGGGAGGATTGGAAGGATTAATAAATATTCTTGACTCTGAAGGAGGATTTGGTGCCCTAGAAAATCAGGTAAATACTTTTAGTTTACAAGTTAGCTCCATTTCTGAAAACTAATCTTTGGATTTCATCAGCTTCTTCCAGAGCAAGCAGCTTCATATCTGAATCAGACATCAAGAGTTTCTATTCCGTCATATAAATCTCCAAAAGGAACTGCCGGTTTTCCTTTACCTGGGCATGAGAGCTTTCCTGAAAATAATGGTTCCATCAAAATGTATGTGTCATAATTATCCTGTCCTAAATATGTATGTGTAACCACATATAGCTTTAAGCTTTTTAATGTCTACTTTTTCTATTGACAGGTTAGAAGCTGCAATGCAGAGGTTGACCAATTTGTGCTCAGTTTTAAACGATATGGAGCCTATATGTGTTTTAAACCATGTCTTTGTACTGAGAGAGGTTAGGGATGGATATTTCTTTTCTTCCTCCTTTTTCTTCACGAGATTTACCTATCTATTGAAAACAGTTTAGATAATGCTATCAATTGCATAAAATTTAGCTAGTGAGAAATCTATAATTGAATGGGCATTGCCTATCTCCTTTTGAAGTAACTTTACAGCATGGTTTAACTCCAATATGAATTAAGGAAGTAAAAAAATTCTTAGTTTTGATATGCAAATGCAACAAATCCTGGAAGAAGGATTGTAAATCAGTAAATGTATGATAAAGATATTAGTGTACAGCATATTGATGATGAGAAATATTATTGACACTTTCTCTAACATTAACTTTATTATTGATTGAAATTTATTGGAAATTACAAATTTTGGTTTATTTTTATTGCTACAAATATTGAACACCCGGCCAAAAAAAAAAAGAATTGTTTACATGGTCCAAATTTCCAATTTAGATTCACTTTTCCTGTTTTGACTAAACGTGTTGTGCAACTTCAAATCCTGGTGTAATTGGGTGCTTTCTTAAAGCACTTTTCACTTTCATGGAGCCAACACTACAAGTTCCTCACCGTAGGAGGCTCAATGTTGGAACAGAACAGAGAAAGACATGATCATACAGAACAGAACACCACCATTCACAAGCTAACTAACATGATCTTATGATCAAGATTGGATTGCAATATTTTATTATAATAACCAATCACCCGACCTGAACCAACCCCATGTCTATCGGGTTGGTTAGGTTCATAATGCCTTTAAAAAAACAAAAAACCCAAACCAAACCAACCCAGTATTGTTTAATTGGTTTGGACTCTTGAACACCCTAAACCTGGTGCAATCCAACCCAATTATACTCCTACTCTAAATTCTACCCCACTTTATATGATCTAACTTCAACCAATGTCCAATCATTATCATTGTAGTGTGATAAATCCAGGAAATTACTAATTTATTTGTTAGCACTACTACAATCTTAGATACAGTTTTATATGTGTACATGAATAGTCAAATAAAGGAAGTGATGATCTAGCTCCAACCGATGTCCAATCATTATCATTATAGTGTGATAAATCCAGGCAATTACTAATTTATTTGTCAATACTACTACAATCTTAGATTGCAGTGCTGAACTCATAGTGACAGTGTTGAGAATGAAGTTTAATGATTTGGTGCTGAACTTTGCAAAGGTCAGGTGATTTGGGGCTGTAAATTGTGTTCAGGTTATTTGGGTTTGAAACTTGGGAACCTAAAGACCGAACCAAACACTATTGTTATTGAGTTGGGTAAATCTAAACTGACTAATCAAGTGATCCAAACCAAACCTTTAGTTCTTATTTGGGTAAGGCCTATTGGGTTCACGAGTAGACCCATTCCTGCCCATAACTCTAATTTAGAGGGTCAAAGTGCGTATAATATTCACTGGTAAGAAGATTAAAGGAGTGGATTTGCAGATATCCATGATATCTTATTGCAATATTTGTATTTTATAAAATTGGGAGTTATTGATTATCTTTGTCAATGGTCATCTGTGATGCACTTTACTCTTAAATGCGTTTAGTTTAGGGGATCCAGATACAACAATGGTTATGGGGAGATAATTCAATCCCTTAATTTTAGGGATTGGATTATGTAATTTACAGCAGTATCCAAACTTACATATATTCATGAATTTACATTATGAATTCCTTAATTTTAGGGATTGAATAACTTAATTTACAGCAGTATCCTAAATTACATATATACAGCTAATAAAAAATAATCTGAAACAGTTATATACAAGGAAAGAGGGAGACAGGGTAATGTCAATAAACCTCAACCTTCATCAATTGTTATCAATGCTGCACTTTACTCTTGAAGTGCACTACTCAATTTAGAGGATCCATATCCAACATTTGTCACCTGTTCTAGTAATGAATCAGTGCATGAAACCCAAGTATTACATACATCCATTCCCACTCTTTCAAATTGTCTGTTTCTGAACGAAACACTGTTCCTTCTGTCATTATTTTAACACGTGAAGCTATTTGTGCAGTACATGAGAGAATGCATTCTTGGCAACTTTAGAAGAAGATTGCTTGGTGTTCTGAAAACTGATAACGATCTTCAACGGCCTACTGTTCTGGAATCACTGATTAAGAGACATATAAGCATTGTGCATCTTGCAGAGCAGCACATCAGCATGGACATTACTCAGGGTATTCGGGAAGTGTTGCTTTCAGAAGCCTTTTCAGGACCAGTTTCTTCTCTGCACTTGTTTGAGAAGCCAACAGACCAACATACAGGATCAGCCACTGAATCGGTATGCATTTGGTATATCGAAAACATAATCAAGGATGTTTCAGGTGCTGGGATTTTGTTTGTTCCAATTCATAAATGCTTCAGGAGTACAAGGCCTGTTGGTGGATATTTTGCAGAATCAGTCACTGATCTCAGGGAATTACAGGCTTTTGTACGTATTTTTGGTGGCTATGGAGTAGACAGGCTAGACAGAATGCTAAAAGAACAAACAGCTGCTCTTTTAAATTGCATTGACACTTCTCTACGCTCAAACCGAGATGTGCTAGAAGCAGTTGCTACCAGTCTGCATGCAGGTGATAGAATTGAAAGAGAAGCTTCTGTGAAGCAAATAGTTGATCTGGAAACTGTGATAGGCTTTTGTGTTCAGGCTGGCCTAGCACTGGCTTTTGATCGGCTACTAGCTGAGGCTTCTGGTGCTATACTTGAAGAAGGTGCTCCCTTGATACATTCGTTGCTAGCTGGGGTGGTTAAGCATCTACCTGATGGAGTACCAGAAAAGGAAGAAATCAAGAGAATGAGAACAGTGGCAAATACTGCAGGTGTTGTTACTGACCATGATTCAGTTTGGGTAAGATCTATTTTGGAGGAAGTTGGTGGTGCAAGTGATGGATCATGGGGCTTGTTACCATACTTATTTGCCACATTCATGACATCTAATATTTGGTCCACCACGGCATTTAATGTTGACACAGAGGGTTTCAGTAACAATATCCATTGCTTGGCAAGGTCAGTACGGTTATGTTTTGGCTGTATTTACTTGGTATCTGTAAACCCTATGGAGTTTAATACTTCACAATGATTTGTGTTTGCATGCTTATGACTTGGTCCAATGCCATATATTAATTTCTATGTAGTAATTCTACAGGGTTGGATATGGAAATTATTCATTTAATATTTTGATTCCATTGTGTAAATTAATATTTGAGAAGCATGAATACTCATTGTCATCGGCTTATACTAATTTTGGCATCATTTATCTCACTCTAAACACATAATAATACCGTGCAGGTGCATTTCTGCAGTCATTGCTGGAAGTGAGTTTGTTAGATTGGAACGTGAACATCAGCATCGACAGTCTTTAACAAATGGGCATGCTAGTGAGGGAATGGATCCTGAATTATCAAGTCATATGTCAGCCGAAGCAAGTATCAAGTCCACTCTGCAGTTATTTGTGAAACTTTCTGCAGATATCATTTTGGATTCTTGGAGCGAATCACATAGGTAATATATATATGATTTTGTGTGGAACACAAATTACTGTATATTATACACACACTTGCGTGTGAAAATTACACATTAATTAGGCAGGTAATGTTGCTATATGTTAAAGCAGAATTTCATCTGCGGTTTGGCGTCATTGCTGTTTTATCCGAAGCACTATTCTTTCATTTTATAGTTTTCTTACATATTTTGTACCTTGATTTATGCACAGATCTCACCTTGTAGCACAGCTTATCTTCTTAGATCAACTTTGTGAGATTTCACCGTACCTTCCAAGAAGCTCGCTGGAAACCCATGTTCCATATGCCATTCTCCGTTCAGTATACAGCCAATACTATGCAGATACTCAATCCACTCCATTGGCAATACTGAACGCATCACCCCGTCATTCCCCTGCGGTGTTGCTAGCACATGCTTCTCCTGTCTTAAGGCATCCTCGTGGGGACTCACCACAGTATTATGGCCATGATCCAGGGTACTTCAAAGGATCATCGTCACATAGTCAGGAGCACCTCTATGATGCTGATATTGGCAGCTTGAGGAGCATGGACAACAGGCAAAGGAACGTTCGTCGTTCTGGGCCTTTGGATTACAGTGCCAGCCGTAACAAGGTAAAATCTGTTGAAGGCTCAACTTCTGGAAGCACTGGACCTAGTCCACTTCCTAGGTTTGCAGTGTCTAGATCTGGTCCATTAGCGTACAAGTAGTGAGTTGTTTGATACATACCCAACAGAAGCTGGTAAGTTATTCACCTTCTGCTAGTGATCAGTTGTTTATAATCGTAATGATATTATGTAGTAAAATGTATATCATACTAAAGCGTCCTTTTGTAGTCGCCTGGATAGTTTAAATCAATGCCATTTTAAGCCCCTTGCTGTTTTAGTGAGAACCAGGTGTTCATTCTATTTAATGTTCATATAGCCAAATATTGACGAATCGCTTTCTTGAAGCCTGTTGGTAGAGTTATTCTGAATCTTATTAAGCAGTCAGTAATGATATTTGCTCGTAAGTTTATTTTTTACATCACTATTTCTTAGATACTAAAAAATAACAAAGGCATAGTACATTTCTAAGGAAAAAATTTAGGTACAATTCTTTAGGTGTAGTTGGTACTGTTTCCAAATCAGAGTTGGAGTTTTATCTCAGTATTTAATGCAGGTCTCTTTAATATAGATTTACACATACTATTAAGGTAAAACTTCAACTCTAATTAGAGAATAATACCAACCACACCTAAATAATTGTACCTAAGTTTACATCTTTCAGCTGTTATTTTCTTTGACATGTTAAAGTTTCTAAAGATTTTGATGATGCAAAATGTCATTCAAGTACACTAGGGATGGGTTAGTTATAAGATATTGACGAGATTTATTGTGTTTCTTGAGGCTAGTCGGTAGCTTCTATGTCTTTTATCCTTTGTTTGGGGGAGAGGTATAAATGGAAGGGCGTGGAAGGGAATATGTGAGAAATGATTTGATAAAAAATAAGTAGGAAAGAGAGTTGTAGTTGTTTAGTAGAGTAAAATTAGATGAAAAATAAAGAGAAATTTGTATTTTATATAATTAAAAGTTTATGCAAAAATTAATAATTTAAACAATTACCATTGTCCTCCTTTATCTTGTTTTACATAGTGTTTAATTTTATTTTATTTTCATATTGTTTGGTAGCATAATCTGTTATGCCAAGTAGGATAATCGATTATGCTATCAAATGTATACTAATGGCATAATTAAATATCATAATAATCAATTATCATATGTCATATTCGAATATGGATATTTACATTGATATTTGAATATTATTTATATATTTGAATATGGCTATGTAAATTACACTATGATACAATTAAAATGCAACTTTCGCATATGAGATGGAAGTGGGAATTGGTATTTTTGTGAACCAAAATTTTGAGTGTTATTTCCCCATAAATCCTTGACTTTAGGCTATGAAATTTGGAATGGGGTCCACGCTTTATATTATCTTAATTCTACGGTATTTCACACCAGTCATGGTTCTTTCTTTAATTCCTTGCACTTCATCCCCACCCCTCTCAAATCAGTTCATTTCCCATGCCTCAAGCACAATGTTAATTGGTAAATTAATGTGTTTTGTGTACATCGTGTTTCCAAATACACGGAAACTGAATTGAGTAGCCATTCACTTTTGAAATCGTAAGTAGGGTTGATTGTATTGGCCTTATAAATATGGTGGATTTGCCTTTTATATTTTTTATTGGTCTTTAATAAATTTTACGAAGTTTGAAAATGGCTTATTATTTATTATAGATTATATTATTACTAAATACTCTGCTATGATGAGTTCTAGGAATTAAGAAATTAACCCGAAGAACTAAGAAGAACAGAGAACTCTGGAATAGAAAGAGTTCTGAGATAGTATGATTGATTCACAAGATTGGAAAATTTGATTACAAAACTGATTAACCAAATTCTGAATCAGACAGTTTTCTAATATACTAGTTGATTTTTCCAACGAACTTCTAACTACTAAAACACGGAACTTTGACCAAAAATAAATCCTCCTATTATTAACTATCCTCACTTAACTGCCTGTAATTCCATCTAATTACATTTTGACCCGTATCAATGCCCCACCCTTACAAAAAATCCTTGACCTCAAGGATAGAAATTTGGAAATTTTTTCATCAAATCATAGTAAAATTCCCAAGTTGAGTCTTCAGGTAGCCGATGCTTCCATTGTACAAGTACTTTGGTGACTGCCTTGCCTTGTCTCTTAACTGTCATACGATCAATTATAGCTTCTGGTTCCTTCTCATTGCTGGAATCAGTAGCAGAAATAGGAATATTGACAAAAGTAGTAACTTCTCCAACATGCTTTTTCAATTGAGAAACATGGAACACATTGTGGATTTTTGATTCAGCTGGAAGTTGCATCTTGTAAGCTACTGATCCCACTTGATCAATGATCTTGTAAGGTCCAAAATACTTAGGAGCCAATTTAGCATTGATTCTGAAAGCTACTGAAATTTGTCTATATGGATGTAACTTCACATAGACAAGTCTCCAATGTTAAACTTCTTGTCAAATCTGTGTTTATTAGCCAATTGCTTCATTCGATCTTAGGCTCTCCTCATGTGAAATTTCAAAAGTTTAAGCATTTCCTCCCTCCTTTGAAGACTTCTGTCTACCAACTCCACCTTAGATTCACCAGGTAGATATGGTAAGTAGATAGGTGGGGGCTGACCATATACTATTTCTTAAGGAGTTGCTTTAATTGTGCTGTGATAATTGGTGTTGTACCACCATTCAGCTAAAGCCAACCATTTAGACCACTGTAAGGGAGTGTCAGCACACATATACCTGAGATAAGTTTCAAGACATCTATTCACTACCTCAGATTGGCCATCTGTCTGAGAGTGGTAAGTTGTAGAAAGTTGAATCTGTACTCCTTGGAAAGCCATAAGTTCCTGCCAGAATTGACTCACAAAAATAGCATCTCTATCGCTTGTTATGGATTTAGGAAACCCATGCAATTTAAAGATATTGTCCAAAAAAGATTGAGCTACCTCAGCTGCAGTATATGGGTGAGATAATGCCATGAAATGAGCTACTTTGCTTAGCCAGTCAACTACCACAAAAATAACTTGTTTCCCATAAGAACTAGGCAATCCTTCAATAAAGTCCATAGTAATATGTTGCCACACATGCTCAGGAATAGGTAAGGGCTGCAAGAGACCAGGAGATGCCACTGTCTCATACTTACATCTTTGGCAAATACTACATTGTTGGATAAACCCCTTCACATCCTTAGTCATGCCCTTCCAATAAACCATTGCCTTTAGTCTTTGGAGGGTTGCATTCCTTCCAGAATGACCACTTGAAGCTGCTGTATGCATACAACCCAAAATATCCTGTCTTAGTTTGAAATCCTTACCAATAACCGGCCTACCCTTCCTCCTTAACTCCCCTTTATCCCAACTGAAATGTTTATGTGAAGTTGTTTTGGCTTGAACCTCATTGATTAACCTTTGAATATCACCATCACTTTCCCAAGATTGCTTGATTCGGGCTAATAAATCAGATTCTAACTGATGACCTTGGATAGCACAACAATCTGTAGTTCCCAACCTAGAAAGGGCGTTAGCAACAGTATTGTCCTTCCCTTACTTATATTTGATGGAAAAATCAAACTCCATCAATTTAACTAACCATTTCTATTGAAAAGTAGTAGTTAATCTCTGTTCTAACATGTACTTGAGGCTCCTGTGATCCGTCCTGATAATAAAATGTTTATTTAACAAGTAGTGCCTCCATTTTTGGACAACAAACACTACTGCCAATAACTCTTTTTCATATGTAGAGAGAGATTGTTGTTGTTGATTCAAGACTCTACTTATGAAAGCTATATGGTGCATCTCCTGCATTAGCACAACTCCAATTCCAAACCCAGAAGCATCTACCTCCACCACAAAGGTTTTGGTAAAATCTGGCAATGCTAAAAGTGGTGCCTGTACCAGTTTTGTTTTTAAGGATTGAAATGCCTCCTTTACTTTTGAAGACCAACAAAACTCTTCTTTCTTCAACATATTAGTTAATGGTTTAGCTGTACTTCCATATCCCTTAACAAACCTTCTGTAATAGCCTGATAAACCCAAAAAACCTCTCAGTTGTTTAGTGGATTGAGGTAGTGGCCAATTTTGGATTGCTACAATTTTGCGTGGGTCAGTTGCTACCCCCTCTCGAGATATATAATGTCCCAAGTATTCTACCCTTGTAACTCCAAAATAGCATTTAGACCTCTTGGCAAACAATGAGTGTGCTCTCATGGTTGTCAAAACTTGCTGCAAGTGGCCAATATGGCTTTCTAAACTACTGCTGTAAATGAGCATATCATAAAAAAAAACTAGCAAAAACTTCCTCAAATAGTCTTTAAAGACCTCATTCATCAATCCCTGAAAAGTGGCAGGAGCATTGGTGAGGCCAAAAGGCATTACCAAATACTCAAAATGGTCACTGTGTGTTTTAAAAGCAGTTTTATGGATATCAATAGGATCCATCCTCACCTGATTGTAACCGGATCTCAAATCGATTTTGGAAAAAATCACAGAGCCATACAACTCATCTAGCAAATCATCAACAAGTGGTATTGGAAATTGATCCTTCACTGTATTCTTATTTAATTCCCTGTAGTCCACACACATTCGTCAAGAACCATCTTTCTTACCCACCAAAACAACAGGACTTGCATAAGGACTGTTACTAGGCTGAATGATACCTGACTTGAGTGACTCTTTCACCAATCTATCAATTTCATCTTTCTGTTGTTTAACATATCTGTAAGGCCCTTTGTTCATTGGATTAGAGCCCTGCATTAATGGAATCTTGTGATCACATCCTAATCTCTTTGGAGGTAAGCTGGTTGGTTCATCAAATATATCAGCAAACTGACTTAGCAGTTCATCGATTGCTCTTGGTAATTCAGGTTGCTCAACATGAGTTGTTAAAGAATGCAACAACCCTTCAGAAGCATCACCTACCTGTAAGACAGACAAATGAACACCTTCTTTAAGAGCTTTAGCCACCTGTTGTTTCCTTATAGTCTTAATATTGGTAGAAGAAGCACCTCGTAGCACATGCTTCTTGCCACTAACAGAAAATTCCATAGAAAGCTTGTCAAAATTCCAAATTATATCTCCCAATGTAACCAGCCACTTGATTCCCAAGACCAGGTCACAACAACCTAAAGGTAGTAACATCATGTCAGAACAAAAATTAGTATTCTGAATAGTCCAACCAAAGTTCTTGACCATTGAAGAAATTCTGACTTTAGTAGCATCAGCCACAATAACATTCATAGTTTCCATTTGTTGTATCAAGCAACCTAATTTCCGAGCAACTTGAACATCAAGGAATTTATGAGTACTACCACTGTCTATAAGGATATGCAAGGGTTTTTTCTTATAATAGCCCGTAATTCGCATAGTTCTAAAACTAGCAATACCAGTCAGGGCATGTACAGAGATCTGAGGTTCAATCAAATCCTTTGGACTGTTCTCCACATCCACATCTTCACAAGTGTCAAATGACTCACCATCATCAATTTCCATGACATGAATTTGGAGTCTTTTATGGGTTAATCTATGTTCTGCGGTAAAAGGTTCATCACGAAAGTAACATAGACCTTTAGCTCTTCTCTCACTCATATATGCGGGTGACAGGTTTCTAATGGTTTTGGCCTTCATAGGTGTGGATTCTGCAAGTTTAGGTGGATTGGATAGTATAGGTGGTTTAGAAGAAAATTGTGGTTTCTGGTTTTTCAGAATTGGTTTGAATTGAGGGTTATTTAAGGTAGAAGCTTCATACATTTTTGCAAGGGAAAATGCTTTTCTTACCGAATCAGGTTGGAACATTCTGACCATCATTTGAACATCTTGTTTTAACCCTCCCAAGAAACAGCTTAATTGGTGTGCCTCAGATAATTCCACACGTGACACAATCGAATCGAATTCTTCATGATATTCTGTAATAGAAATTTTTTGTCTTAGCTTCATTAAGTCCGCCATTGGATCCTCACAAATTTCCCCAAATCTATCAAGCAAGATTCGTGTATATTCCATCCAAGAAGGTAAATTTTCTAATCCTACATTTTTCACATAAGCACTATGCCATTGAAGTGCCTTTCCCTCGAAATGTACCACTGCTAACCTCACCTTATAATCTTTAGGTGTGTTGTCAACCGAAAAGAAAGTCTCACACTGGATTAACCATTGTTTAATCCCGTTGCCGTTAAATCTTGGAAAGTCTAAACACGCCAATCTTGTATTGCAAGAATAAGAAGATTTCCCCCCACGTATTGAACTTCCAGAATGAGAAGGTGGTGAGTTATCTTGTGTATGTTTTTGAAACAGTTCTTGCATGTTCTAGATCAAGGTTCGCTGCATCGATGTTGCAAGTTCCATGAATTTCTCTTCCATCTTGGTACTGATGCGCTCTTCTGCTTCATGAACAGATGCTTGAATGCGCGTGTTTTCTGCCATAGATTCTTGCGAAGGAAGGAACCAAGCTGATACCAATTGCTATGATCAGTTCTAGGAATTAAGGAATTAACTCGAAGAACTAAGAAGAACAGAGAACCCTAGAATAGAAAGAGTTCTAAGATAGTATGATTGATTCACAAGATTGGGAAATTTGATTACAAAACTGATTAACCAAATTCTGAATCAGACAGTTTTCTAATATACTAGTTGGTTTTCCCAACGAACTACTAACTACTAAAACACGGAACTTTGACCAAAAATAAATCCTCCTATTATTAACTATCCTCACTTAACTACCTGTAATTCCATCTAATTACAATTTGACCCGTATCATACTCCCCCTGGCCTACATATGAGAAAAAATGTTGAAATATTTTAAATTGAAATATAATAAATTTTAACCAAGTGAATTTTATTTTATATTCTCATTTCAGAAATATCTTAGACAATAAAGGCTAAATTACAGTTTTTGTCATTTATCTTATTTTTAATATTCAGTTCAGTCCTTATCTTAAAAAAAAATTAATTTAGTCCTTTGTTTAAAAAAAATTAATTTAGTCCTTTGTGTTTTAAAATTTTTTTAATTTAGTCCTTTGTGTTTATAAAATGACTCAAAATAGTTCTTTCTGTTAAGTCATCTTTAATGGTCAACATTAAAAACAATTCAATTAATCTCATTGGCACAATTTGTGATATGTTAAAAAGACCAAATTGGGTCCTATTTAAAACAATAAGAACCAAATTAAACCTATTTAAAATTCACTTAATTGTTACTACAATTAGAAAACTTGTAATTCACTTTTATTTTCTTTAGATACTCTCAAAAGTATTTTGTATCAACACTATCTATACAACATATACCGTGCAAAAAAAAACTTTTCCAATGAATATCACAATAAAAGCAAATTCACTCAAATTAATTTTTATATAAAAAAAGTAAATGCATCTAACATTAAGTATGCAAACTCAAATCGAAAGAGGCACTTAACACACACGTAATGTAGAAGTTGTGGAAGTAAACAACATTACGAAGAAATCAATGACAAACCAGTACTCAAATTTAACTTTTACTCTAACTAGCATGTATGATTATTAGTCCCTGATTAGTCAAAACACTTCAATAATATTTTTTTTTGTACGAATGTATTCATACAAAATAACTGCTCTCATAGTATGTCGTCTTGATTGTCCTAGCGGTGGAACGATATGAAAGTGCCAGCTCTTTCGACCTCCAGTCTAGCCCAACCATTAGAGAAGCTTGACTAATGAAGAACACAATACACGAGAAAAGATGGCACATGTGGCAATTTGTTTTGCGATGATGCATTAGTTTTAAAACTTAACCTATGTCACAACAAAATATTTATTCAGTGAACATCAATCGCACTTGGCAACACCGAAAAATATTCTTCATTTTTCAGAAACGATAACAAATGGAGCATTAATTCCCAGAAACCAACAGTTTTAATACCCTCCAGTCTTTTTATTCCACCAATCCATAAACTTGACCTCAGCAGCCAATGTGTCTACCCTGTAAAGTTGAAGTGCATGATTTGCGATTTCATGCCCAAAAGTCCACCCAAATACACCTCCAGCTAAAAATGACAGTCCAACGCCTGTTCAATATGGTAGGGTGAATGAAAAGATTAACAATGTATTTGAAATATTTGCATACTACTTTTATGAAAAAAAAAACCTACATAAAACTAGGTATGCAAAATATTATAAAACTAAGAGTCTAAAACATTTTCTAGTGTCAAAAAAGCAAGAATGATGCCTGCTTTTGCTTACTATATGATAATCAAGAGCTACTGTAGAAAAAGATTTCAGTAGCATGAGAAGCAGTAGATTACCATGTAAACTCCTTGAATATTTCCAGGCATAGCCAGCGGTAGATAATGCTCCCAAAGCACTTCCAGTGAGGCCGAATTGCACTGCTTCTCTAGCACTTTTCAGCTGAAATGGGAAAAAGAAAATTATCCATGCACCATTTCAGATCATAATTATTTTGAAGTCAAAACTCGATATCAACTTTAGATTCAGCAGGTGAAATATTCATATTTTAGAAAATGCAGAAAATGATAACAGCCACAAACAGTTACTTATATAGAAAGGGGTTAGAAACATAGAATAAATAGTCTCACAGAGTTAATGGTATACTTTGGGTTAGCAACATAGATTTGTTGTCATTTTCCATTTATTAAGAGAATCAGCTTCAACATGATCAATAACAAATGAAGAAAAAAAAAAAATACAATTTGTCCACTATGAATTTTGTTTTATACAATATCTGTTTTTCCTCTTTGGGGAGAGTCAGGAAATGTTTCAAGGGGATCACCCTTTGATTCCTTTATATTGTTATAAACATCACAACCACCCAAAGGGAGATAAATGTTGTCATGTCTACTAGTGTGATCACATTATAACAATAATCCATATTAGTAAAATCAATGAATGATGAAAAGTGATGACCACCATAATGATGTCTAAAGGACATTCAATTGATGGAAGAACTCGATTGTGTTGAAAGGACAAAACTTTTGAAAAGGACATAGTTAATGCCTAGCCCAAGATTGAATAGATTAGAATAGAGCATCCTAATAATTTCAAAGGAAATTAGAGTTCCTTAACTTGGCTTCACAGGGTGTAACTATTAAATCTGTCTATGCCTAAAAGTGCCACTGTCATCAACTGTGAGAAATTCCACTTAACATGTCATCAAAGATTAGTTGTCTAAGTCGGTGACCTTAAACACTTGGATAGTAGTGCAAAATACTGAAGATTTCCAAGTGAATGACACAGTGCAGCCAACCATACATAACATTGCCAAGAATGCAAAAACTGACAGGTATATGGTGCCACATTAGAGTTGCTTGTCAATTAACACCTTATTTGAGGTAGTTTCAAGAGGATCACCTCACCAGTGGTGTTGGAAACATGCTCAGTTCTTTTATCTCTTCGGATTATTAGAATCACAGGATTCACAACCACTCATATGCAGACAAATGTTATGTCTAATGAGTGATGACATTACACAATAATGCATATTAGGGAAACCAACCAATGATGGAAAGAGATGACCACCATGTTGATGTCCCAGGGATGTTCTGTTGATGGAAGAACTCTATTATGTTAAAAGGACAAAACTTTAGAAACACACATGGTTAATGCCCAACTCAAGATTGAGTGTATTACAAAACGAATATCCAAATAACTTCAAACGAAGCCAGAATTCATTAAGAGGGTGTTTGGTAACAATTGTTTCAAGGAAAATAATCAGTGTTTTAACTTTTAAGTAACAAAAAAGTGATTATTTTATCGAAGTGAGGTGAACCTAACAGGCAAACACTAACTTAGCATCAAATGGAACTATTAAATCTGTCAATGCCTAAAAGTGCCACTGTCATTGATTGTGAGATGGGATTTGAATTACTATCCATAATGGCAATTGCAGCCACATTAGTACAGTATGCGAAGTCTGTGCAACCAGCCAACCACATCACAACCACAATTTTAATAACCTTAGCCACAATTTAAAACCATGAAGTCATCTAACGTTATTTTGCCTAAATTTATGACTTTAAATACTTAAAATTCAAATAAAAAAATACTGAGGATTATGGAGTGAATAATGCAAAACCAACTGAAGAGGTATGCAGACATGAAATGTGGCCAACCTGGCTAGACAAGGCCAGGAATGCAAAATACACAGATATATGGTTCCATATTTGAGTTACTGGCACAACAGCACCTTGTTTTAGGTGTCCAGTGGTCTATTCCAGTTGGCCAAGGTGGAACACAACGCAAGAATAAACAATGCTTTCCATTTCATGATGTGTAGTGTAAACAAACTACAAAAAGAGTGTGGTAAGATTGGGGGACTGAACCAGGACTGATGAATGTTGAAATTTCCAACTCATTGTGCAAAGTGCAAACATGTATCTTGAACTGTTAAACGCTTTTGTGCATTAATTAGTCAGGATAATTTTTTATCAAAGTCTTATCATGTTTATACAAGATAAATAGATATAAAGCTTATACAGTTTTATGTTTGACATATTTTATTTATCAATAAAAGGACAAGTACTTAAGAGTCTACACCACTGCCCACATACTTTCCTATAGCAGTAAAGCACAACTTGTCTTCTACTTATGACCCGGCCAGCAAAGAAGGAATCTCTTTGGAGATGTACTTTCCACAAACAGTTTGTAAAATAACAGTCCTCGTAGTCCAAATAAATTTTTCATAGAGGAGGAAATAGCGATTAACTCTAGTATAATTTCACTAAAAAAGAATACCTGACACCAAGAAATAAAACATGAGGAACCAGATTTAAACATGCACTCTTGCAGTAATTCCAAACTAAAACTAACCAAACACACACACAACTATAATAATAAGAGCAACAGCAAAGAACATCCAGATGAACACCCCACACTAAAACATAAACAAATGTTATAGAAAGCAAGGGTTATGTTATGTAAAGGCTCAGGATACGATGCACAATTCAAAACAACAAGGCAAAGAACGCCAATCAATGCACTTATACGATATCCTCAGATGACTCAAATGGGGATGATTAAGTGAGAGAATTATTACCACGGGTCCATGAACAGGATCAGAAGCAATGAACTCCTCGACATCAGAGGTGGACCAGGAAGGGATGGGTTTATCGCGCTTGACAAACTTGGAATAGTTGCCCAAAAAGGAAAACCTCTCTGACCAAAACTCCTTGTAGCCTTCCCAGTAGGTCTGTGATGACGAACCTTGAGCGTTGTCTGCCATCACTCCTTTCCCTTTCACTTGAATCCCTCTGCAATAACCAATCAAATTCAAGTCAACACAACAGATTGATAATTGAATCAAGTAAAATATAATAACTACATCCAAAAAGCAGAATTTCTTCGCATAAATCATTTGCATGAAAGTCAAATCTTAATTGAAATCAAAATGAATAAATCCATTTTCATGTTCCTAAATTAATTTAGAATCCGAAACACTAACACGGCAGAATATCTTCCTTCAAAGAAACTAACGTAAGAAATCGATCAAATTAATGGATCACAAGCATGGTAGTTGAATCAGGATACAAAATCAAATATTGGAAAGCCTATTTTCCAGACCGTTGTAAGATTCAAAATCAATAATGTATACTAAATTACTAATATATAAAAGGGATATTTTTTTTAGTAATCACCTTGATCTTCACATTTTGTTAACCATTATAGCCTTCTATTTTAAAAAATTAGAAAAAAATATTTTTAATCAAATTCAAGAACTTGAAACTAATGAACTAATTATAACACTAGTTAATTATAATACTAATTACATCAATATACTTTTATTATTTAATTTTTATTTTTATTTTATCTTTAATAGAGGCATAAAGTGTCTTGACCCTACTAGTAAAACATAACATATATAATTAACAATGACATATTAAAACATGTATTCATGATCTATAACTAAAAAAAATAAGTCTAGTAGCATGAACATGAAATGCATGAATTCTCTAAAATTTGTTATAATAGCATAGTATTAAATTTATAATAAATATTCTAGCATTATAATTATTTTATATTAAAATTTGTAATAAGTATTCTGCCATTAAATTTGAAAAACTATAACAGATTTCTTTTTTACTATTTTTAATAGATTTATGATAAAAGGATACTAAATAGCGAGTGAAAAATATAAACAATTATTACATCAATTAATTAAATATTTCTTATTTGATAATAAATAAGAGAGGCTCATAAAAAAATAAAAAATAAAAAAATTAAAACTGAGGGATCAAACACGGTCCGTTAAAAGTAGACACAAAAGTTCCTCAAGTTAAAAATCGATACGCTGTCGTTTAGGATTAGGGCTGTCGCTATCATTTGTTATCGTTTGCCCACATTTGAGCGCACCCATGAGCGGAGCCTTCATGCGGCGCACAAGAATCCTTCGATTCTTCTCTCAATCGCGATTCTTGCATGATTCATGCGATTCACGGTGCGGTTCAAGCACCAAAACGATTCGTTTCACCAGCAGCTTGAATCGTGCGTATCGTATCGTGAATCGTACGATACTTACTACCATGATCTCAAGTTTAATTAAGCAAACTCGGAATACGAAATTGAAGAAGGGGAATAAGAGTGGCTCACCGAAGCAGCTGCAAAATTAACGATGTCGAAGATACACAGTGGCTAGCGCAGCCGTTTTCCAAAGGCAGTGTTAGTGTTCCATCTATTTAGATTTTACCAACTGAAAGTCACAACAATACACATTATGCTTTAAGATCCACCATTTTTGCGTCATATATATTTTTTTTCTAAACAATTTTATGTCATATATGAATTACAATAATTTTAGAAATGACTTCTATATAAACATCGAAATGGTATCGGTAATATGTATATTATATGTAACTAAAATTTATAATAAATTTTTTATTATGTACGAATAAATAATGTATTTAAATTTATAAATTATATAAATTTGTATATATTAATATTTTTAACCATATAAATATAGTTATGTTGTTTAATAATAATAAGTTTATATTTGAAATAAAAATAAATAAATTAATATATCAAATTGTAAAAATTTAAAATATAAAAAAATTAAACTTATAATGATAGTAAGTTTTTTTTCCATCAAATAGTTTATAGAATAAAAAAGTATGTACGGATTCAATTAAATTTAATTTTATAGAAATCATAATATAATGATAGTAAGGATTTTTTTTATCAAATCTAATGATGGTAAGTTATAAAATTTAGAATATCAAACATTAAAAACTAAAATTATAACATTTTTTAGAGAAAAAAATCATCATTTTGATATATATATATATATATATATGTATATATATTTACTATTCAACTGATATCTTCATTTTTTTTACATTCTAAATTGGTTGCCTGTATGTTTCGAGGGGTGAATATCTACAAAAGGTACTATAACGCTCAAGCAAGTTATTCTGAGTAATAAATGTGAATTATAAATAGTAACTTTATATTGAGATATGAACTATATTTATATAAATGTTAATGGTCCTCAATTTTGATGGGTTGTAAGTTAGAATTACCAATTAGGTAATACGTCAATAATTAATTTCATATTCATGATTAAACCTTAATCATCTTGGTTAAAATAATTAAGGGTTGCCCATGTCCATGTCTTTTGGCCTTATCGGTAGTCGAAAGGGTTTTGCCTCCAATCCTTTCGGCTGCCGAGAGGTGACATGATCCTTTTAACTATCAAGAGTGTTAAGATGTGGTGTGATCCCTTTCGACTACCGAGGGTATCAAAGGATTGTGTGATTCCTTTCGACTACCGAGGGTGCCGAAGGGTTGTGTGTCTAGCTGGTTTCCAGTGGTTGAATGGCTTATCCAATCTAATATATATTACAATTATTTTAATATTTGATAATATATCATTTATTATTCTTTCACATAATATAACGTGACATTGTGTCTGCTAACATGACATATTAACACATTAATCAATAATGTGTATTTTTTTTATTAAGGAGGGTTAAAATCCAAACTAGAAACCACGAAAAAAGTTACAATAGAAATATCTACAAATATAGAAAAATAAATTTTGGAGAAAGAAAATTTATAAACAAGAATATCCTCTTATAAAAAAAAAGAAAAACTCTATTGATAAATACATTAATCACATGATTTTCCTCTCTAAAAATATGAAAACAATCCACATATTAATCTACGTCAATAACACTAACCATCTTATTAACAAATGTATAATAAGTATGCTCTATATTGCATCCTTCCTTCATAATTAATGTGCCACAATGGAGTAATAACATAGACAAAAATAAATAACAAAATTAAAACTCAGGATTTTATTTGCCATTTTATAATCATAGCATTTCACAAAGTCAAGAATTATATTGGTACTTTACACTAAAATATATAATTGTGCAGATTTTGTGGTTGCAAACTAAAAATACAGGGAATCCAAATCCTAAGGTGCTTAAGATACATTCGCTATTTTTATTATTATTATAACTATTTATTTATTATATTTTTTTTTGCGTTAATGGAGTTCTTATCGAAATATTGTTCGGGAAAAATTAACACATTAGTTTATGTTTTAGAAACCTTTGTAATGATGCGGCTTTTCGGTTAAACTAAATTAAAAATTAAAAAAATACTTAAATAAATTTTTAAAAAATTATTTATCAAAATAAATAATTTTTACCACATAGGATATTCTGAAGTGAAAATGTATAAGAGGGTGTGCATTTTTCATTTTAGGCAAATTTGAATCAAAAATGCACACCTTATGTGTTTTTAATTCAAAATCTTTTGAATAGAAAATGCACAGGGTGTGTGTGTTTTCAGTTCCAAGATTTTTTAAAATTGAAAAAAGGTTAAATTAATTAATATTTATTTTATTATTTTATTATATATTTATTTTTGATAAAATATGTATATTGTAATATTTATTGTTTTATGAAATTATGTGTGAAAAAATTATAATGTTGATTTAGATAAATCCTCGGCATGGGGATCCATCCTCAAACAAGGGGTAGAATCTCCCTATAGCAAACCATCAAGTCAAACAAACCCAACAACATCAAAACCACTCAAAAGTCAACCACGACATCTTTAAACCACACCATGCAGGCACTCCTCAGCACCTGGACTACAACAACAGATCATTTAAATCACCCACATCGACATCCTCGTGTTCACAACATCTCGAAAATGAGCACTACTTAGAGCAACACTCTGACGACACATCCATCAATTATCCACAAAGGAAAAGCTCAACGTCCACAATAGACGCCTGAAGAGGCATCACAATACTCACCTGGCAGACACAACACAGATTTTCCTACCAGTCATTCACTCATTCTCAATGAGACGTTTGGAGAGACATCACAATACTCACACGGTAGGAATAAACAAAATCCCTACCACACATTTTATCTCTCAATGGAGACGCCTAGAGAGGCATCACAATACTCACGTGGCAGGAACAACACCAAAATCTCTGCCATCCATTCCCCAGTGAAGATGCTTGTAAAGAAAGGCATCATAATACTCATATAGTAGCCACACCATGAAGTTTCTACTAATCCATTCAATCGACAAAAGATAACCCAAGACAGAGGCACATCAAGCACCTCTTACCCAACATCCTTGGGGCAACATCTATCATAAATCAAGCAAACCAACGAGGGCACCAACAGATTCCTTGAACTACAATAGAAGGCAACCTGGAGAGGCCAACACAATAATACTCACCTCCCGATACGATACACAAAAAAGCCATAAGGAAAAAGTCTAGAGAGACAATCATAAGGCCAACACAACAATACTCATCATCAAAATAGGCGACCTAGAAAGGCTAGCACAACAATACTCACCATCAAAGTAGGTGGCGTAGTGATGGAAGAGATTAGGAGGAGAGATTGATGTTCTTC